CATTAACTTATTACTTGCTTTAAAAACAGATTACCTATTATTATACGTAACATTTTAAAAATGTAGTGTATTTTATCATACATACAAATCTAAATTAAATATATTTGCATGCAGTGGTCTACATTGAGGGTAGAACATGACTTATACAGTAGCTTTTATAATGTCACTTTCTAAACTAAGACATACATAGAACAAAAAGGCTCAGACTTGCTGATCTTAAATTTGTTTCATATATTTAACAGTTGCTAATAGGCCCAAAGAACTTTTGTTTTTATGGGATATGTCTTTTGGTATAGTCCATCCTATAAACTCAAGCAGGAACTTTAAAAAATAATTATTTGTACTCAGGTGCTGGTGGCTCACATTTGTAATTCTAGCTACTTAGGAGGCTGAGATCTGAGGATTGTGGTTTGAAGCCAGCCTGGGCAGGAAAATCTGTGAGACTCTTATCTCTAATTGATCACCAGAAAACTTGACGTTGTGCTGTGGCTCAAGGTGGTAGAGTGCTAGCCTTGAACAAATAAACTGAGAGCCAGCACCCATGCTCTGAGTTCAAACCCCAAGACCACAAAAATAGTTAATTTGTGTTAAATAGTAATAATAAATATGTAATTGTTAAAGTAATAAACATTTTTTTGCAAAGTAACCATGCATCCACAAATGAAAACATTTAAACAAAGGAGTGAGCACAGTTCTCTTTCCTATATGCCTGTTACTGGTTCTTCAGGATCACTGATAATTGTTAGACTAGTTATATGACATTTCTCTATGTTTTCCCTGAAACAATAAGGGATGATAATGATACTAACAATCCCTGAAAAATAAACTTTTATGACAGAATTCTTTACCTTTATTCTTTTAAACCAGTAATCACCAGTTGAATTAGTTAAGAGGATTGCTAATTGCAGTGAAGTATGTGAATAGCCTGGCCTCCACATTCACTTGCATAAATTTCCTCATTTTCATTATGTACTTTCACTCTGCATCAAGACATTCAATAGAAATTAGAAGTGTGAGAGCTTACATAAGAAGACATATCCATCACAAAAATTCTTAGTGCTTGATATTCTCATGTTCTTCCTGAAAAGCTCTGATTAACATAGAACAACACAGGAATGTAGTTTACCAAAACTAACCATTATTTTCACAAGCCTCACACAATTCCAAAGCTGGGATTCAAAACAATCTTAATTGTCATGTTTTATGTGTTTGTGAAACAGAATAAAAGAATAAGATGGGAATCAAAGTATAAGATGGTTTGTGAAATGAGCCATTTAAAATTGTGAAAAGTAACATGAAGGAAACAAAATGGTTGCAGATGGACATATTTGTAGAATGGCATTAAGGGAAGGCTTCAATGTAGACACAATACTAAAATATAGAACTATACCTTTCCTATTCCATACTGTTGGTGAACCTGAAGCATTGATAACATTGTGATACCTGTGACAGATGTAGAATTCCAACACCCCCCTAGGAAGCCTCTTATTCCCTAGATCAGAATCTGACTTTTAAACAAGATTTTCAACAATCTGAATGCATATTGCAGTTGAAAACCATGGACTTAGGAGTGAATACTGTGAAGTTAAGCCTTATGAAGAGAGGGGAAGGAGTACACTATGTAGAGTAAGAAAGCCCTGAGGCAAGAAGAAAGGGTATATAGAGTTATGGGATTGCTGAATGTTAGATTTCATCAGGACAGTATAAGTCCTGTCCTGTATGTTAATGATACAATTTCTTAATTTTGATTTTTTTGTTATATGCCATACATCAACAAAGCTTACATCTTTGTGTTCTAAGAAGGTATATAGTGTTATGGTTTGGATATAAAATGTACTCCCCAAAGCTGTTGTATTGAAGTCCCCAAAGAGAAAAGGTGTATCATGAGAGCTATATAGCTATATCTTCATTACTAGGTAAATCTATTGATAGTTTTGTATCTTAATAAGCTATTGAGAGGTGGTGGAAACTTTAGTAGGTAGGGTTTAGTTAAAAGAAATCACTTGGAATGCATAGAGTATATTCTCTCCTTTTCCATTTCCCCCTCTCTGTCTCTCTTTCTCTTTTTCTATCTTCCTAGCCAACATGAAATGAAGAAGTTTATTCTACCACATGATCTGCAACAGGATATTTTACCTCACTCACCACAGCCCATTCTCATGGAGCCAAATGAACATAGATTGTCAACTCCAAAACTGTGAACCAAAACAAGGCTTTCCTTTTAGTTATTTCTTGTAGGTGCGTTTGTCACAGTGCTAGACATCTGACTAACACAGACAGGAACGAACAATTCAACTCTACTCTGAAGCCATTATTATTATTATTATTAGGGTGGAAAGAAAGTCCAGAGCTGGAGTGAGTGGTGGTACCTAGTCTGCATTCATGGGGAGTAAGGTCTAGAAAGTGGCACTGGGTAGCATCATGGAAGGTGGGCCTGTGATTGTGTATCTGCAGTTGTTCTGTTTTTAATTAGTTCCATCTTTCTATCAGATGATTTTCAAAAACATTTCTCTAACTTTTTTCTACCTTTCCTCCAGGGATTTAGACTTCCATATCTTTCATGCCGATCATCTTCTGGTCATCCCATTAGAAGTGATACCTGTAACTGGCAGTCCGAAGTGTCATGGAGCATGTGAACTATTAGAACCTAAGGGTTTTGAGTGGATCCTTATGTCTACACAATGTGCTTCAATGGTGTTCTGGAAACCTCAGCCTAATATTGATTAAAGCACACATTTCCTCCCACTACCCATGAATCTCTACTAGGTTTCACTGAACCTGTTAATAAAGAACCTGTCCTGCTTAGATCCTTTAGATATTGTTTCACCCAATGTAAGTATTTCTTCTGGTTTTGTAACATGTAAGCATTTAATAAAACATGAGTAGCTTTCCACATGCGGTCATGTTTTCTGACTTGTCAAGTGTTTATAGTTGTTTCATTTCAGATGCATCTCTATCTGTTGAATACCGCAATAGAGAAGCTTAGGTTGAGCCATTGCTTTCCTTTCTCCACACTTAAAATTCAATTACCAGGCAAGCCCCAGGGAATGTGACTAAATACTAGTGGTGATATAAGAACCAAGAGTAACACTGTGTAAAACTGAGCTGCAACACCCCACCCCCCACGTCAGTGGCTGCTGGGAAAAAGGAACTGAAAACTGCCTATTCCTAACACATAGCCAGCCTGGCGCATGGTGCAGCTGGTGAAGGACAAAGGCAGGAACTCATTCTCATGTACACCAGGAACTCAGACCATAGTCTCTGTCATGGGCTAAAATGTGAATCCAGAAAGGGCTGAGTTTGCCACCTGGAAGTCATCACGAGGCCAAAATTCTGACTGAAAATCTGACTGAACTTGTTCTCAGGATGACCAAAGGTAAGGTTTTACTTCTTATGAAGAAAAACAACAACAATAAAACAAGTAACCTTTGCCTTTCAAATCCCTTCATTTTTTGTCTTCAGAGAACTGGGTACTTATTTATTTAAAAATGTGAACATAAGTGGAAAAAAAAACAATCATGGCCTTAGTATGGATAAATGAAGTTGAATTTGGTTTCCTTTGAGTAGAAAGACTATGGTTTAAGAATTCAATTGGAGACAGATGCTGGTAGCTCACGCTTATAATTCTACCTATTCAGAAGGCTGAGATCTAACGATAATGGTTCGAGGACATCTTAGGTAGAAAAAGTCCATGAGACTCATTGCTAATTTACCACCAAAAAGCCAGAAATGGAGATGTGGTTCAAGAGGTAGAGTGCTAGTCTTGAGCAAAAAAAGCCAAGGGACTATGCCTTGAAAGAAAGAAAGAAAAAAGAATACAGTTGTGAAGAATTGTTTAAAGTCATCAGGTTGATATAGACATCTATTTGTGTGTGTCCTAAAAGAAAGCAAAATTTTCTCTATACTGTGAAAATGAAAGCAACTAAAGGCAGAAACATGGCAAGGTGTGGACATTAAACTGTTAGAACTTATTGTGACTTTAATGCTATCCAAAGTCAGAATATTTGAATTGGAATTTACTGAGTTGTCTCACTTTTTTCAAAGTGAAGCTTTCCTGAGTGGTGCTTGTTATTTGGCAGGTGACAGAGGTGGTGAAGAGACATGAGGATATTTCAGCATCTTGATAGTGGTGGGGGTGGTTCCAGGGCTTTCTACCTATGTCAAAACTTGTCAGAGCAAAGAAGTGAAGAACTGCACTCTATTGTCTGTCAATTATATAGCTGCTTTGCTAAAAAATAAAGCTTTCTGTTCCAAGGATTCCTAAACCTATGAAAGGATTTGTATTATTCTTCATGCTGAGATGCAGGTGAAGAGAGATTATATTGATTTCTCACTTCATACTAATTGTAAATGGAAGCAATTCAGTGATACTGAATATGTATTTCCTGAGGAGAATATGTATTTGCTAAAGAATTGTAAAAAAAGTATTCATAGCAATATAAAGTAAACTGCTGTCAAACAAGGGAGCAATTTTTATCCCTAATTTTGTGTTTTTTGTTTATTAAAAAGTTTTAAATTGTACTAGCTAAGCAGACACTTCTTGTCTTTGTCCTCTACACTTCTTGTCTTTGTCCTCTAAACTTCTACACATACAAAGATTATTAACAGTACAGTGGAACTATATGCATAACGTAGATTTTTTTAGAAAAACTCATTGGATATTAAAAGAAATATTCAAGTTTGGAGCTGCCACTCAGTTAAAAATAAACATCAATACTGTTCATAAAATATCATCTACAGTTTAACTGAAGGTCTGAATGACAGATTTGCTTGTAAAAGGTTTAATGTTGATTATTTTATCATAATATATAAATCAATGCTGAGGCGATGTTCAGAAAGAATTAAGTCCTACTGAATACGAATACATTCAACTAAATTAAATATTGTCTAAATAAACTGACATATTAACAATTGACAAAAACATTTTGAAGAAGAACACTTGATACATTCTTTTGTATCTGGCTGTAGACTGGGTGACTGTAAGAAATATTGGCACTTACTTTCCAATTGTATTGGGTAGCATCGTAAGTTGATTGTCATCTACTTTTAGAGTAGTGAGTTTTTTCAACAGTCCTAAAACAGAGGAGAAAGTTTTATGAATATGTCAGAGAAGAATATGGCAAGCAATGTCTTAGAAAAGAAGTAAAAAAAATCATTTGTGAGGAATGTTTGGCATGATAATTGGCTTTATTGTACTTACATAAACATATAAATTGATATAGCATTCTTGTGTACTCTAGTTTTAATGTTATAAAAATTCACTTATATTTATGATAGTTCAAGAATGCCAAATGCACACAGATAAACAAAACCAAGGGGTCCATATCTATGCCCATGTTAACTTAAATACTATTACTTTCCCCTTTGCTTTTTTGTAGCAAATGGATCAGTTGAAATTCTCAAACCAGTTATGATTTAATATTAAATTAACACCTATACAGGAATAACTAAAATTCCTGTTGTCATATATATTGTAAGCAAATCTCAATTAAGTCTAATAACCAAAAAAAGAACACTACAATAATGTACTGCAGTGCTCGTAAGTATGGACTGACAGAGTTAAAATATAAATCTTTCACTTGGAACAGCATTATGCACAAAAACTTGCATTTTTAACATAATGGGTAGTACCAGCCAAGAATTAATGTTACAACTATTTATCTTTCACTGTCCAATTTGTGTTCTATACCTTTATCTGTTCTGAAGAACAGTTCATTTGATGTACTCAACTTCCTTATCCAGCCAAAATATAGCTTATAAAATCAGAATGGCTTAAAATCCAAAGGCAAACCATTAAGATTGTTTGGAATTTTATTAAATTTGGCTAGAGCTACAAATATATGTTGTATAGTACTGCGTCCTACAGAAAGTCTGTCCTGAAAATCTATGTTCCGTAGTTACATATCTTTTGAGAAGTGTCAAGTGAAATGATATAACATTCTTATTGAAGTTTTTCTAGGAACTTTCGATATACTGATGTAATAATGTTATTCTCTAAAGTTGTACTTGGAAGTAGCATGTGTGTGTGTTTGTGTGTGTGTGTGTGTGTGTGTGTGTGTGTTGTGTGTGTGTGTGTTTGCATGCACACATGTGAAAGACTACCTTGAAGAGCTAGTACTTTAGGAACATGCTTTCACTTCATGCCCACTTCCTCTTAAGTATTTTGAGGATTCTTTAAAGGCAAGAATAAATCACAAAAAAAATCTGGAATAAAGTTGCGGAACTTTAAATTTCAGGGTGCTTAGTTACATTTTCTTCAGAGGCAGTCAGAGTATCTACTCTAGTAGAAACAAATGTAATCACTTCCAGACTGCTTTAAGAGTCACAATTGTTTTTAACACATGAGATTGAAATAACTGCCTAGTAAAGAGGAAGTTTCTCATGGCAATTTGTCTCTGAAGTCTGACACTGAATCTCTGAACACTGCTGTGTTCATCTATGTTCCAGAGGTGACAGAATCATGTTAGCTTCACTCCTATGTATATTAAAATTTCAACCTTGGGGGTTGGAAATGTGGCTTAGTGGTAGAGTGCTTGCCTAGCATTCATGAAGCCCTGGGTTTGATTCCTCAGTTCCACATAAAGAGAAAAAGCTGGAAGTGGCACTATGGCTCAAGTGGTGGAGTGCTAGCTTTGAGCACAGAGAGGCTCAAGGACATGCCCTGAGTTCAAGCTCTAGGACAGGCAAAAAACATCAACTGGAAATGTACATGAACACTTGACCTTGTGTGTATCAGCTGTGGAAGGAAAACAGAGGATTAAGAATCATAGCTAATGTTTTTTATGACTTGTAACCCAGGCTATGCAAACTGTTGCTCTCCCAGTAGAGTTAAAGGAAGGTTAATATTCTCTTCATCACTTCATTAGGCCACAATAAATTATGGGTTAATGATGACTGAGCAGGCACCAGGAAGCCAGCCAGGTCACTAAACATTCTTAGGCACCCTGATCTGAAACAGTGCTGAGAAAAATGAGGCGGATTGGAAGTAGAGCAAATGTTGGTGCAATTCATTTTCCTGTAGATTAGGGTAGTGGCTCTGACAAGAAGTTTTAAAAGTTGAGGGGAGTTTGGCCTCAGTGTTTAGCTCCACATCTCTGGATTTATAGGAACCTCACTCATTTGTGATGAGGCTATTTTACCATTCAAACCCCAGCCAAGGCTCTCATCTTCAAACCAATTCTGGACCTCCAGAAGAATATGATTGTATACTTGGGCATCTGTTTCACCTGCCTCACTCAGATCTCCCTCTGAATTTCCTATTGCATTTCTATATTCTATCTGCTTGAGTTCTTCTACCCTATATAAATCAAAGGCATTTTGGCTTATTCCTTCTTTCTGTTACCTTTTCTCAATTTGCAATTATAGGCCTGACCAAGTAGTGCCTGGCTACTATTACTATTTTTAAAGTAGCTAATGTTTACATATCATATCTGCTCACATAATACAACACTGAAGCTAGTAGCTGCCCAATATCTAAGTATAAAACCTATAAAGATAGGCACCGGTGAGATCCTAGCTACTCAGGAGGCTGAGATCTGAAGACTGCAGTTCGAAGCCAGTCTGGGCAGAAAAGTCCCGGTGGGAATCTTATCTCCAATTAACCACTCCAAACCAGGAAGTGGAGCTGTGGTCAAGTGGTAAAGCTCTAGCCTTGAACACAGAGAGGTTCAGAGGCACTGCCCAGGCCCTGAATTCAAGCCCCACAAACAACCAAAAAATACCAAACAAACAACCAAAAAAATCATGTAATGATAGCTAATACTGACTGAGCATTTATGATATCACAGACTTTTCTAAGTACTCATATTAATTAACTAGTTCCTTGAACAATCCCATGTTGCAGTACTACTATTAATCCCACATAATAGCTGATGATATGAGACACAAAGAAATTAAGTAATGTGTCTGAGATCACACAATTATTAAGGTTAAAAACAACAACAACAACAAAATGGTCTGAATTCAGCTAGCCTAACTACAAAGCTTGTGTCCTTAATAACAAGTGAGTATAAGATAAACTATTCTGAGACATGAAAAAATGTATTCTCCATGATTGCTTTTCTGTGTTTTCCAAAGAATTTGGATGGCTCTCTAGTAGAGAAAAAGAGGGCCTTCCATTCTCTACAAAACCAGCATAAAGGAAGGCATAAGCACCTGAGGCTTGTTGAATATGTCAGTCCATTCAACTCTTCCACAGCTGCAGAAGGACCCAAACAGGCACAATGGAAGTAAATATTTTAGTTTCTTGTTATTTCTTTGTGTTAAAACTATGAAATCCTCTCTCTTATTCTTTAAAATGGTGGTGGCTCAAAAGACAATCCATGCTCAAATATGAAAGACAAGATGCAATTTCCTATCCAATTAGAATCAATACATTATTCTGGGGCCAGAACAAAGCTCTCAGTATCTTATCTAGGCAAGTTTTGTTTTTAGGTCAGAAAGGGTATTCTCTGAGAAAAATCAGCCTGTCTATCTCGATAATCAGGTACTTTCATAGTGCCATAGATATACAAATGCAATTTACCCTGAAATTTCTGTCAGGTCTCAAGGCAGTTGAAGAATAAGCTAGCATAACAGAGTTTTTTTTCTCCAGACAAGAACCATCCAAATCTGCAATGGTTATATTTATGCTACTTGTTTGTCCTCATGTGTGTTATGCCAGCCTATAGTCTCTATTATTGATACATGTAGCCTTCCTACAATCTAATTTCCCAATCTGCTTTCTTGAAGGACACTTCAGACAAACAATTGTATCATGTTAACATGTTTCACTTTCTATCTTCTTTCAAAACTAAAACCTGCTTTTTCTTTGTTTTAGATGTGTCTCATCACCAGCACAGAGTTGAACTTAAAAATATGCATTCTTTAAAATAAAGCGAGTTAAATTAATTTGTTATAGTTATTACAATTTATGACAAATAATTCGATTTCACTTTTATAGCTTCTATTTTGATGTGTTTAAAACTTTAGTTTTGTCCTCTCTTCTCCCTTTGTTTAGAAATCATAAATTTAATTTCTATGTAAGGCATACATTTTAAAATGTAATATGCCTGTTTAGTTTTGTATTTCTTACAGATTTCCTACATTTTCCTCAGATCATCACTATATTTCCAGTTTATCTGATTGAATATTTAAGGAGGATATACCAATATGCAGGCATAGTTCTTAGCGCTGAGAAAGTAGCCATCAAGAAATTTATTTGAATACAGGTAGTTAATTCTATTAATTCTATGCATTTAAAGTGGTATGGAGGATGGGTGAGTTGGGTTTAAGGTTGAATTCTATCATCTTTACCAGTGCTCCTTTTCTGTTCTTATCTGTTCCTTATCTGTTCCAACACAACTAGGATTTCCATACTTAAGTGCTCACAACCTTCATCTAGGATATTTAATAAAAGTATCAGTCAAAAAGTCTAGACAGGTTTAACTGTATCTGAATTTTCAGACAGTGTCTCCCTGAAAAACACTTTAATCAAGCTCTGACTAAAATCTTACAATTGAACTCATTGGAGAAATGCTGTTTAAGGGTATGCGATTATGTACATCAAAAATATCAGCATATCTCAGAATAAAAAAATAAAAGGTAAACTGTGATGATGCTAAAACTAATTCTCTACCAATCTGAAAGAATGATTAAAATGGAAGCAAAAATAAAGTACTGAATAATGTCATTTTTAGAAACATTTTTAAGCTTCAGAACTTATCACTTCTGTATTCCAGAGGTTAAAGTCTACATTTCAAAAATTAAATATTTTGATGGTATTCTCCTAGATGAGTACTTTAATAAATAATAGCAAGATATTTTGCAAAAGGTTTACACATTTTCAGTTTTTTATGTAAAAATTTATAAATAAAAATGGTTAAATTCTGGCGCCAGTGGATCATACCGGTAATCCTAGCTACTCAGGAGGGTGAGATCTGAGAATTGTGGTTTGAAGATAGCCTGGGCTGGACACATCTCCAGTTAACCTCTCAAAAACTAGAAGTGGAGTTGTGGCTCAAGCAGTAGAATGCTAGTTTTGAGCCCAAAGAGGCTCAGGGACAGTGCCCAGGCCCTGAGTTCAAGCCACACAACTGACAAAAGTTTAAGCCCCACAAATGACAAAAAAGGTTAGAAAGTTTACAATATATCTTTATAAATTGTCTCACTTCAGAAAATCTTAATAACATAATAAAAACAGTATATTCCCTTTTTATATGCTTGTTTCTCAAGACTGGCATTTTACCTACCTCTTGAGCCACAACTCTGCTTTCAATGTGTCCCTTTTAAAATTATTAAACCATGAAAACATTTTATATTTAGAGATTTCATGTTATTTCTATCTTGTAGCAGTGTTACAATGACATTAAAAATGTAACAACATATGGATAGACGTTACTGTCAGCCTATGGTGATACAAGGAGATACCATTCATTATCTAATTACTCAAAATCTAACAAATATGCTATGTTATGTAAATAACCCTTTACAAGTTACGATGTTTAACATTTTAAATTAATTTAATAGGAGTATTGTAATAGGAATGATGTGAAATGTAACTAGAGGTAAGCTCCATTTAATAGTCATGCATAGCAAATTTGCTAATTCATTAATGCCAAGCTAGTGGTACATGCATGTGTACAAGAAAGATACACTGCCAAAGAGATGTTTAACTCTGACATAATTATCCATAACAAAATATTTTATTCTCACCTATGGAGTCGGGTAGCTGCTGTAACATATTGGATGACAGTAAGAGGTCCTCCAGGGCTTCACAGCCAGAAATGTCCATGTCAACGGTCTCTATTCTGTTTTTGGACATATCCAGGTATACCAGCATCTTTAACTTCCCTATAGACTTGATGACATTGCATAAACTCAGGATTAGTTGAGAAATTTCCACAAGACATTTTAAAGCTTATAAACCCCACAATATTATAAAATGAATTTTAAAAATTAATCACAAGTTTTGATGAGAATATGGAAATATTGTAACTCTCAGATATTGCTAATAGTAAAAACAGCTTGACATTTCTCAAAATGTAAAAGAGTTTCTATGTGACTGAGATATCCATATGTATATATACCTGTAAATAAAGATATATGCATACAAAAATTGCACAGTTACAAAGCAGTAAAGGTTCAAATGTGTATCAATCCATGAATGGGTAAGCAAAATGTGATATATGTATACAATAGAATACTATTGGATAATAAAAATGAATGAGCTACTCATACATGATTCAAAATGAGTGAACCTTGAAAGATGTCAGTCACAAAAGATGAAGTATTGTATATGATTCCATGTACATGAAATGCCCAGAAGATACAAATCCATAGACAGAAGGTAGAGTGTGGTTGTTAGGGACTGGGCAGAAAGGAAAGGACTGGAAAAAAGAAAGTAGATTTAAGTGGATGAAGAAGCTGGCTCTAAGGAAATCATGAGAGAGTAATCTGTTAATTCATCTAGAAGTTGGGACTTGGCAGCATTTGTCCAGGAGCCAAAGAACTGGGCAATTTTTATCCAGAATTGGAGAGTCATTTGTTGGAGGCCTCCTAGGATTGGGTGTGACCCTGAGTAAAGAGGTGGTCTCCAGGTAAGACATTCCTGAAGAGGTGATGGAGGGATAAGCAGCATTTCTAGAAACTAGGGTGGAACAGAGATAGAAAAAAGTTCTTCATTCCTGGAAAAGGGCACATGATAGCATCTGCCATAAACAACAGTCCCGACACAAAACCACACCAATACAAAAGGGTGGAAATGAAATGGAAACTTCACTTTTATCTAAGTACAGGCTGCAAAGCCTGCATTTGTACTGGCAGTTCTTGACCTCCATGTCTCTGATTAACTAAACCCTTTGCTTTGTTTCCTCAGCATCTTTCATGGGCACAGATTATAAGTGCGGTCTTGAGGAAGCTGAATTGTTGTGAGGGCACTTAGAACACTCAGGTCACAGAGCTAAGCTTTATCCCTCCCTAGGAGAAAGTGTCACTTTATTAATGGCTTTCTTCCTCAAAGAACTGTTATGCTAGCCATCTACTGTTGTGCTGAGCAAAAAAAACCAAAAAAACACCCCATGATATGTTAGGGTTTTGCACATGTGTGTGTATTTCTTTCTTTGTTCCTTTATCATAAGGGAATTTCTTTCATCCTTGAAGCTTCTTTCAGTGTTATCTTGCTTTTTTCCAACCCAGATCAATATTTTGCTGTGCAGTTTCTGAACATATATTTTGGAAACAAAATAATGCTTTGTGATGCCTGTGAGCTTTATTTATTTATTATTTATTTACTTATAGTCTTTCTCAAGCTTCACTTGAAGCATTAATAGCCTAGGTTCTAGGTCTTTCAGGTTCCAGGTCTCAGAATCCTTGAGGATGTTGACAGTTGTTTCAACGTCTCTCAGGACATAGGGGTGTCTGTAAGTGAGCACTGGGCTGGCAAATGTAGAGAATGAAAATCACAAGTTAAAGCTCAAGCTTTCAATGGCATATTAACTTGTTACTTAGTAGTATAGGAACTAAGAAAAAGGTGAACTTGATTTTTTTTCTTGCTTTTTTGACATTAAATAGTTTAGAATTAATCATCTGTGAACATTGACAGACATGGACTGCCAACTTCACCTAAACATGAGCCTGTCAAAGCCAAGCCTGGATGGATGATTGACAAACACCTATTTGTCAGTACCAGCATTCAGAAAAGCTATGGCTATTTTTGGCAGGGGTTGTGAGATATTCACACATATGCTGAAGCAAGATGACTAATTAAAGTGTGCTAAGCAAGTTATGGGATCTATTCAAAGCTGAGAGAATAGATGACAGCTTTGACAAAAGACAAATTAGGCTTTAAAGATTTTTAAAGATTTCACCACCGCCTTTTCATTTATATAATAAGCTTATTTGAGGTATGAGTTAATTTCTACAGTTAGAAAGCTGAAACACATGATAGCATCTAGAAAAGCATGATGAATCAAATTTTCATTTGTGCCTTCTCCTGGTCTTGTAGAGAGCATACAGGAGCAGTGCCATGCATAGCAGTCTCTAGAGATGGTTTAAATCAAAACCCTTATCTCCTGGCTGTATTATGTTGGGCTATTTACCTTTTCTTTCACTTCCATTATCTACAAAAGGAGAGCAGTGATTGAACATGTTTCACAGGGTTCTGATGAGGATTCAATGAGTCAATATATGTAAAATGTCGTGTAATGCCTAGCTGATGACAAATACTGTGGAAGTGGCTTTAAAAAATATATATATATTTATTGTTATAATAAAGGTGATGTACAGATCGGTTACATTTACATAAGTCAGATAAAGAGTACCTTTCTTTTTAAACAATGTCACCCTTTTTCTCACTCTCTTCTAGTTTTTCTCTCTGTTCCCAACCCACAAGTTGTATAATTTATTTTCAACATTGAGTCTAGTGAATGTTATTGTTGCATTCATTCACCATTTGCCCCACCATTTCTATGCCTTTCTTTACTCTTCCAAAGACAAATAAATGAACAAACAAGACAAAAGGAAATGAAAACAAAAACAGCAACAAAGAAAACAACCCTCTTGTTTCCACTTCCTGGAGTTCATTTTGATAAATATTATTTGATATGGCCAGATGCTCATAGCTATTGTGCCTGTGTAATCCTCTCCTAACAATATCTTCTTTTGGTCTCATACAATGTGAATGCCTAGAGATCTGTGTAATTTATCATGTCCCAGTGTATTTTTTTTTTACCTTCCAGTGTGTTTACTTTTAGATTTACAGGCACATTCTAGTTACACAAATGAGGGAAACCATGAAATCTCTGTTTCTTTGTGTCTGCCTTACTTGGCTCAATATTATTTTTCACAAGTCTTCCCATTTCCTTATGAATCATTATCATTATTATTATGAATCAGTATCATTCTTTCTGATGGATGAGTGGAATTTCATTGTGTATATATACCACATTTTCAGGATCCATTTATCCATTAAGGGTCATTTGGTTTGATTTTATATCTTGGCTATGGAAAACAATCCTGCAATGAACAAGGTTATGCTGGTGGCTTTAGTATGGTCTTGTTTGTATTCTATTGGATAGCTGCCTAGGAGTGGAATTGCTGGGTAATAGGGAAGTGCTATGCTTAGTCTTTTGAGGAACTTCCATACTGTCCACACAGAATGGGAGCAGATTTTTATTAGCTAATCAGACAAAGGCCTGTTATCTAAAATATACTTAGAGCTCACAGTTATTAAACACCCCACAAATAAACTCACAAAGAAACAATAACCAATTAATAAATGGGCTAAAGACTCAAAGAGAGACTTCTCAGAAGAAGAAGTAAGTGGCCAATAGATGCATGAAGAAATATCAATATCTCTGGCCACAAAACAAGTGCAAATTGTGGAATTAACAATAAGCAATGCTGGTAGGGATATGGCCTAAAGGTAACTCTACTACACTGTTGGTGGGAATGTAAACTTGTTCAGTGGTTATGTAAGTGGTTTTGAATAAATAACTATATTCAATAAGCAGATGTAAAATTGCAGCTAGACATACATTCTGGTTCCACAATCTCTGTATCGGAATTAGTAATGGCATTCTTATTTATATTCATGTGCTGAGTAGTATAATACAATGTTCTATTCTAGCACTCTTTTAGTAGATGGGTGGTCACATTACATCAGTTGAAGCCAAACCCACTGCTCACAGATGTTACTGGGCTGCCTCTTTGTTGAGGAAAAAAATCTGACTATAATTGAACTTTGTCTTTAATGCTGTATAATCCTTGCCATCTTTAAAAGTCTAATTGGCTCTATTGGACCTCATTTGAACTTATACTTACATTTTGTGAAAGAGCTCTCTTAATATGAGATGAAATCATTATCTATTTACTTATAAGAAATAATGTTGATTTTATAAAATTAAATTTGGTGTTAGATACAGTATTTCCTCTTTAAAATTAACTATGAATTCACCAACTTTTTAAAACAGTAAATATGGGAAGAAATAACAAGTATGCTCCTGAGACAGCAAAAGAAATCATTCACTGCATACACAACACTTACAAAAGATACATTAAACACAAAACTCAATGAAAAACAGTTGGTAACTGAACTCTCTAAACATTACTTTTCTGAGAAATGTGAACACTGAGATTCAACAGCTAGGGTTATTACAATAATCAATCAACATGTAATATAAATGCTATAAATCATGGCATAATAAAACTTACATACCCCAGGTAGAATTTGCAATGCATTATTATCCATCCATAACTCCCTTAAATTTTGTATTTGATCCAGAACTTCAGGCTGGGAGAGAGGCAGGAAGAGAGAACAGAGGAAAAAAAAACAAGTTAGTCTTTTCTTATCATGTATATCAGATGTTATTTTTTGAACTTTTGTTTGTAATTGACTCATGTTAATTCTCTAAGAGATTCCAGGGTTCACAGACTTTCTATCAACCTGGTAGTCCTGGAGATAGCCAACCTAGAATAACAATAATTATAAACATTAAAATCCATTATTTAGATATCTTACTCTACTACTTTAATACCTTTCTCTTGTCCTTTGTAACATTAATTTTACTCTAATTAGTTGAGCAGTTTCTTTTTCACAAGAGTGTAAGCATTCAAAGGCTAGGGTGTGTTGTTTCAAGCACTTTATTTTTGCATCTCTGTTTCTTACTACATAGTCATACTTGGTACCTCACATTCAAACACCCACTTGCAAGAAGCATTGATGTATTATGATGGGCTAGATTAAGATCCTTTGTTTCTTATCCCTTCAATCCATTAATAATTATCTGCTAAATAGGAGAGATGCCTACTGTATATATTGCACAATGCAAATCAAGCAATAGCAGATTCATTCTCTATTAAAGTGTTCTGAGCAAGTTTTGGAGCTAGATTATTGAAGACAAAGGATTATAGATCACTAACAACCCCCAAAAAAACTACACAAGAGAAAAGAACAGCATAGAGAATGGAGGTGAAACATAGTGAGAGAGAGAGAGAGTGAGAGAGAGAGAGAGAGAGAGAGACAGACAGACAGACAGACAGACAGACACAGACACAGACACAGATACAGAGAGAGACACTGAGAGACAGAGAGACAAAGAGGGAGACAGAGCAACAGAGAGACAGAGAGACAGACAGAGAAAGACCACAGTGCATGAGATATTGATTACCTATCTAGAAGCAAAATTAACTACCTGGTAGTCACACTATACCAGAAGGGTAAAAGTTGCCATTATTGTCAGCATCATCTCCCTCCTTGTGGTGGTCTTTTCACCCATTTTTGTTTTCTCCAGAAATTATCAATTTCCTAAGTTTTAGGCTCTGTCCTTCCTCTGAATTAGAGTCTGTTTCATCATTTTATGGGAGTGACTAACACTAGTCAATACATTGTATTACCTAGCCACAGGGATTGATTCAGAGATGGAGATGCGACTTGTTCAAAACCTATGTAAAGGCTCATAGCCTGTGCCTGTAATCCTAGCTGCTTGGGAAGGAGGATCATAGTTCCAGACTATTTTAGGCTAAGTCCCATCTAGACAGAAAAAGGTGGGTGTGCTGTGTGTACCTGTCATCCCAGTTATAGAGGGTAGTTTAAATAGAAGATTTACTCTCCAGGCTAGCCTAGGAAAAGATAGATTCTCAGCCAGAGCAAAAAGGGCTGGGGTCATAATTTACATGCATCTGCCCATGAAGAATGAATCTCTCTGTAACTGTAATCCCTCTGTCCACTATTTTTACAATAAAAACATAATAAAAAGAACGAAGCTCTCAATTCAAACCCCAGTGCCACTAACCAACAATCAATCAAACATGTAAAGCAATCACTCTTGGAATGGAACTCTTGGTAGTTCCTGTTGGATTAGAAACAAGAAAGAAGCAGCCCAAGCAATTTCAGTCAAGAAGAAAAGGGGGAAAGAATTTGAAAATAGAGTCTTTCAAATGAAAGGAAAACAAGCTAGAGCTGAAAGATAGAGCCAAGAAATAAATAGAACTGATAGCATGAGAGAAGGGACTGACTTCAGACAGATGTGATATGCTTTTTCCCCTCTGATTTGAGGGAGAATGGTTCAGAATGCTATGAGTATAAGGAGACATGGAGAAAGGATGAGTAGAAGTTGAGAGGATGCATACATTAAATTATCAAGTATTCTAGATGAGATGGAGGACAAGGGAGCAAGAATCTTATGTAACAGCATAGCTGGGAGAGAACTGGATACAAATGTGAGAGTATACAAGGTCAATTGAAAGAGCTATGTCATTTTCTGGGCCAGGAATGGGGATTGATAGTCTAACATAAAACAGAAGAAATAAAACCTCCATTCAGGTTTACATTAAGTCACTAAAGAATGAAGTAGGAGTGAGGGACAGAAAATATTACAAAGGTGGAAAATTAGAAGGAGAAGTCAGAATTTAGGAATCTGGTATTTCTGAAGTAATTACAGATAATGACAGCCTTCAAGCTCTACCCCTGAAGATGGTCAGCCCAGGTAGGAAGTATGATGTCATGGTTTGTGGGCAAGGGCAATGCTATAAGAACATAGGCCTTGTGTGGCTTCTAAGGATTCTAGCAGTCCATTATCTTAATCTCACATATGTGCTGTCTTGGCTATGCATCAGACAAAATAGCAAAGATGACTAATTATCCCTCTGAAATTTCTCTAACACTGAGTTCTACTAGGGATCCTAGAAATCTCCAACTTCTTAGAAAGGAATAATTTGCTAACCTAACATTTCTGCTTTATTTCCAAAGACCTCATTCCTGCTCTTTAATAGGATAATGGAGTAACAGTCCTACTTTATGGATAAATAATTGAAAATCATTTCCTGAGGAAAATGAGAACAATTTGATGAGGGTGGTATCACTGTAGCTGGAATTGTTTTTCAGGTTTTCTAGCTCCAAAGATGACATCACATTATAGCTTAAAATTAAAATTCCAAAATAACAAAGAGAGCTAGTAATCACAAATGACCCAGAAAGAGAAAAAAGCATGTACTAGGTTTCTAAATAAAACATATTTTTAATCACTAGATAAATAATAATATTAGTATTATAAAGTGCACCACAGAGGAAGTTGCAGGAATTTCCAAATAACAGCAGAGACAAAAATATAGTTAGCGATTAATACAATCTTGCTCTAAACAAAACAAAAATGTAATATGATGATCATCTCATGATCAATAGATAATTTAAAAGTGGATCTTAGAACTAAACTAAATGGCTTATGTTCAATTAATTTTATCACAAACTCAATCAGCTTTATTAAAAGCAAATAAATTAATTCAAGGATAACTTGGCATGTTCTATACTGAGAAAAAGACCTGTAAGATAACCAAACTCAGAAGCAACATTTTTACTTCCAAAGTATTTTCAAATAAGTATCTCATGCTTTGAAACCTTTAAATCTGGTTCCAGGCAATTATATACAATATTTAAAATAGAAACCAATATTAATATAGAAAAATGTTCATTGCAGAAGTTAATGTTTAAAAGTTGGTTTCCAAGCTAAATATGTGATAATATAACAGAATAGACAACAAAATTATAATTAATAAATTGGTTTAGTGTTCAGCAACACAGATAAATTATATGTATTTTAAAATTTTTAATTACAAAAATGAGTAGTTTTGTTACCTTGTTCATGTAATTGTAACCCCTCTGTACGGTATTTTCACAATAAAAAATGAGTAGTTTGCTTTTTTCCTAGGTGTGTGTGTGTGTGTGTGTGTGTGTGTGTGTGTGTGTGTTGGTACTGGAGTTTAAATTTGGGGGCTGCGTGCTGCCCCTGAGCAGTTTTGCTCAGGCCGGTGCTCTATTAACTTACAGTTTTGCAAACAATGTCGCATGTAAAAGCAAATATAGTGAATGGAAAGAGGAAAAGTGAGTGAATATAGTCCTAATTCTCAATGCATTTGTTTGAAAATGGAACAATGAGACTTGGTGGGATGGTGGGAGAAGGGATGGTTGGGAGGGGGAAGAGTGGTGGAAGAGTGTCTCACCAACATGTGTTGTACAGCTAGTTGGATGCCAGTGGCTCACACCTGTAACCCTAGCTACTCAGAAGGTTAAAATCTGTGGATCATGGTTCCAAACTAGCCTAGGCAGGAATGTCCATGAGACTCTCATCTCCAAATAACTACCAGAAAACCAGAAGTGGAGCTCAGTGGCTCAAGTGGTAGACTCCTAGCCTTGAGGTACAGTGTCCAGTACCTGAGTTCAAGCTTCAGTACCAGCACTACTAACAAAAAAAGGACATTCTGAATTCAACCCAACTTGTACAACTATTTGAAGGCAATAATTTGAAGGTAAAAAGCAAGCACAACATTTCATCTAGCACTAATCAATTTCTATAAATTGAAAAACTGTTGTATGTCCATGAATACACATACAAACAGTTAAAGTAGGAATATAGGATGACGCATAACATGTTTTAAAAAATAATGACCTTGGAGGAGAGATTAGGATAGACTAGACTAGAACAGAGAAAAGACAAGACTTCTAATTGACTGGTAGTGGTTTGTTTCTTTACTACAAGGACAAACTGCACAAACTTTTGTGCATTTTGGTTAGAGGTATTTGTTATGTTAGTTTACAATTTTTACATTTTATCAGTTTTAAAAATTTAGAAGAAACAACATTATATCCAAATATTAATTTCAAAAATCTTAGTAATGCTATTAGAATAAATTTAAAATGTTCCTCTCTTGCATTTCCAGTATTTTCAAATCTCCAATAGTATGTGTATCAAAGTGTATTAAAAATTAGAGAACATTTCAGTGTATTTTCTTTAAATTGATACTTAAGCTTACTTAAGCTTTGTTTTCAAAGTAATTTTCCATAACTACCCAAAATGGGTGAAGAAAATTATCACATCAATAAAAACACAAAGAAAACATTTTGAATGACTGCAATGATTTCCAACAACTCATTTCAAGTACATGTAATTTTAGATTGTTATATTATTTTGAATAGTTTTTTATCTTTTATACCACTAATTTGTATAATGCAGGTCAATTATATGTGGTTATTACCTACTATATTTCTGTTCTAATGTGGTTTAGAGAAATGTTCACTATGGAAAAAACCTAACATTTTTTATTTCTATAACTTTTCAAAGTAAAATCAGTAAGAGGAAAAAAAGGATCTTTAGAGTTTAAATGTCTCAAATTTCACCACTCTGGACAGTGGTATGGAAGTTCCTTAAAAAAAACTAAACACAGGGCTGGGAAGATGGCCCAGTGGTTGAGCGCTTGCCTTGCATGCATGAGGCCCTGGGTTCAGTTCCTCAGCACCAC